CTGATATTAAAGAATTTGCATAGCTAGCGATAAATCATCGTAAGAGCTAAATACAATTTTTAAATGTCAGTACATAAAAAGATACCACGACGGCTAAATGAAATATATATATAGTCCAAAGTGAAATACATCGATGGATGCAACGCAGTTAGATATAAGACGATAATCGTATTTGGACTATAATTGAATTCACGTGCACAATTGAATTCATGAACCGGAATTGGAATTTATGAACTTATTCATGGTGTAACAAACTATAAGTAAATCTTGTTGCTAATCAAGATAATTGATAAATCTAAGAAATTCTTAATAAAGATTATTATAAAATCGTTATTGTTATTTTATAAATTTTTCTCTCCATCAATCTTTTCATTTAACGATATTTAAAATTGCAACCAGACGAAACGCTGTGTATTTTTCATACACGACAATTCGTTCGTTTTCTCACTGCCACGTGAATAATGGCAAATAAAGTTTATATGTGACAGATTATCTGGTTAATGAGTATGATGCGGCCTTTGAAACATGAACGTTTGAAACATTAAAGGATTGCAGAAATGTGCGAAGTTTAGGAAATCTACTATGCAGAACGTATTTTTGATCCACTATGCAAAACGTATTTTTGATAAAAATTTCAGATTTCTATTTAAAATGCTTGCTATGAAAGAGAGCTGTTCTCATTCAGCAGTCAAAGAATTTTATTTAAATAAAAAATAATAAAACGGATTATATGCAGCGATATTTTGAAATATACATCGCGCATATGTGTGGTTGTTTGAATATATTATTTTTATATCAATTATGTATTATAAAACACATAATTTAAATATTATATAAATATTATCATTTTATATTACAGAAACATTCATATTAGTTATATAAGAATTTATATAAAATTTTTTTTAAATTACTGATAAGGCAACGTATCTTGTGAAAGAAAAAACTTGTGAGAATAAAAATAAAATGTGAAGTAATAATTATTCTAATAGAATGCGCATTCGCAAAGTATAAGAAAATGTATTAATACCGAGATTAGTCATTCATCTCGTTCAAGGCAGAAACACTTAAATAAGTACGGGGGCAATACAGATTCGTGAAGAGCACTTCGAAAAGACTGTAAAGATATGCAGTTATTGATAGATATCGAAGGCCAAAATTAAGTCCAGACTTGTATGTATTATCTTGTATGTATTACCAATCTTAATTCGATAAGAATGCATTCTCGAATAAATGCTGGATATTAAATACGGAGATAAACACTTTGAGGTGATAAAATTATGCATTTACAAGCAGAAAAATATCAAAGATTAGTAATAATAAATTTACGGTTACTAATAGTTTCCGAACGAGAATCATTCTGTTGCGTCAAGTAGATCATCAAGAACGTAATACGATATCAAAATGAATGCGATAAAGAGAGTTTATAATTTGAAGATGAATAATTCTTATTAACTCAAATTAAAAATGTTTCAAATACAAGATAAAAAATAAAATAAAAATAATCTTATTAATATCAAAATTCTTTAAATTAAAATTTTGAACTTTAATTATAAATTTATTATTAAAAAATATAAACATTTAAGATATTCATAATCCCTAAAGATTAACATTTCAATTAATTTACCATGTTTAAAAACAATGTTAATTAAAGAGCAAATTTACGTTTTATTTGATGCATTTCCGGATAAAAAAAAAATCGAGAAATCGTATGAAAGAGCTTTAGGATGTTTAAGGACACGTCAATGTGAACGCAATGCTCGAATGTGCTCCGAAAGAGGGAACTCGCTCGCGCGAACTGGACGAGTTAATTTTAGTTTAATCGACCGACCTGATACGGAAAGCTGAGCGTACGAGCGACGATGCACGTACGAGCGTGCACACGACGGCGAATTAAACAAAGTGTCACCGAACGGACGCGTCCCGAAGACAAAACGCGCTTTCATGACAAATACCGCCCGAGTAATCAACAGAAACTACATCTGAAAAAATATTGATCGACGAAGAAAAGAGATAAATGTTATAATTATAAACTTGCAAATCAACGTGTGTTCAATAATAAACTTACTATATAGCAATTAGTATATTGCAATTTTTTAATTTTGTTTATATGTATAAAACGACAAGTAGCTGGCTGTATAATTAGAGAGAGAGGAAGGACATGTTTATTCACATATATTAATAATTTTAAAATGTGGGATGACCAAACAATCTAAAGAAAATATGTCAATAAAGAAGATCTCATTGATATGTCGAAAGATATATATCGGGATTGTTAATGACACGCATTATACCACAATTACGATATGCATATATATGTCGTTGTTACGTGCATATTGCCACGAGTCTCATTTTCTCCCACCACGGAATACATTTCCGAGTTTTCCGACCCTTGGACGAGCAACGTCATCGACGCCTAGGATGCGAAATCCTTGACAAGCGCAGCTGGCCAAGGCCGACATTTCATTTTGCCGCGTCGAGCTCGCCAGTGCATTAAGAGAACTTAACGACTTTGGTTCACTAATATCGATCAGAATACCTTGACGCAACTATAAGTATAATTTGAAATATTTATGTGGGTGGATTTCTTGAAAGCTTTATGATTTCGAGCTTAGTGATTAATCAGATTTTGATCAACGAAGCATGAGCTAATTTCTTTAGGAAAACTTTTCATATTAATTTCTAAAATGTAAAGATTCAATTTAACTGTTGTTTTACAATTTAATTTTAAATTTGATATAAGTGTGTTGAATTTTGAATTAAATTATAAAATAACAATAAACGTCAAAACAGTTAAATATATTAATATAATAGTTATATATTTAAATATTTTATTAATATTGTTTAAAAATTCTTTTTACTATATATTTATAATTTTCTTTTTATCAAATTGTTATTTTTTCGTCGATTTCTAATTCTTCGACAATTTTTCAAATAATTATAAGTAGACGAAAAATCAATATAAATTTTTCTCTTGCACGTAATCGTTTCTCCTCTTGTGATACTCAAAAATATTTTCTCCAATCAAAGGATTCTTCATTCTCTTTTCGAAATTGTACAAGAATTGATTTGATCGAAAAAGGACCGATCTGTCCGTTTTGGATGTATCCCATTTTTTTCATACGCACCTACACAAGATCGATCGCTTCTCAGACAGCAATTTACACCGCCCGCGGATCCAGATCGCTCGATTTCGATCCGCACAACCTTTCGCTCCGACCCCACTCTCTCAAACGGGTGATCCATATGCACATCAGCCCCCGAGGGAGCGAGGTAGCCGGAGTTATGGGGTATAGATCATTGCGTTGAAATCAGATAAACGGCGATGCCGGCCGGGCTCCAAAAATAAAAAAATAAAAAAAAAGCAGGAAAGGCAGTGTCGCAATGCAGACCTCCTCCCTCCCCCTTGTCACGATAAAAATGAAAAAGCATCGTGCGATCTTCGATCTTTCCTGAAATAATTCCATCTCACGGCTTCATCGTAGATCATCGTGGGACGCCGACGTTGTTAAGACATCGCGTGGATAAGATTGAAGGGGATACTCTGTCTACATATGGATAAGATGGGGAGAGAGGGAGAAAGCACTCCTCTATATGTGATATATATGTATATATATAAGTGTATATAGATACATTAATTTATTTTATCGCAGAAAAGAATAAAAAGATCGAAATCATACGATCTAGATCGCGACATTTTCGATGGTTCAGGGACAAAAGGGGGTTCGTGTGTAAAAGCCTACATCTTTCCGGATTAAGAAATTATTAAAATAAAGACACTCAAGATTGATTAAGATAGATAATGTATCTAAAAAAGAACAAAATAAAGAGAAGAGAGACAAGAGAGAAAGAGAGAGATACTGTATCTCTCTTGATGTCGATAAGATCTAAAAGATATTTTTATATATACTTTTATATATCTGTCTAGAAATCTGAGACACGCTCTAGTCATTTTATGGAACGCATTACGCCCTTGATATCAAACATAAATGATAAAAAACATCAATTGCCCATTAGTCTAATTATAAAAAAAAATGATCAATCGTGATATAAAAATTTGAAATTTCAATAAATAAAAATTTTGCGCGCCGCGCCGTTTTTATATAAAATTCTAGTGGTGAACAGAGAATATTTCTCACGATTTCGCAATACGGATTCACATTTAGACTCGAATTGCTTCCGTAACGACATCAGCTGACATCGGGACAATTTTCCTCCGCCAATTCGCGGCGATTTGCGTACGCGGTCACGTAAGAGCGATTTTCGCGCAGGCGGCAGAGGACTTCTCATTACAACCAGCATCGTCTAATTAGTCCGCTCCTCTAGAACACGGCAGTCCGCACAATGAATTACGTCAGACTCGTGCATTTTTCCCGTCGCTTTTATTCGTGCGGCCGACGAGATGACGTTGGGATATCTTTGCGAGACATTAAGCCGCGTGACTTGCGAATCCTACGACAGATCTCGGCACACTGCTCCCTTTTCGGCGCGAATATATATATATATATACTATATAGTGACTGGCGCGAAGGTAATATCGCGTCGCGAAAGAAACGCAATTTTGGATGCATCAGTGACTAACCGATCCAAGAATGTTGTCAGATAACTCGATCTTTTCGTTAAATTATTTTCGTCATATGCAGACAACTATAATGATTAAATGTCCAAGTATAGTGTCGACATTGTACATACAATATATATTTAATTAATTTTATATTTAAGTTTAAATTATTTAATTTTAACAAAGAAACATATTTAAAAAAATTAAATAAAGAATACAGACATCAAAAAAATCCTATAATTGATTTTTCTATTCAGTTAATTTCTTTCAGACTTATGGAATCGAAAATTTTTGCGATCCAAGATTGCAAAGACTTTGAAATGTTAAATATTTCGATTTTCTCTGAAATGTTTGTGCATCCTTTTCCTTGAATTTTATCTGCATTCTTTGCTAGTAAAACTTTTAAATTTTCGCTCGGAATTTAACATTCTTGAATTTTCAGAGTTACGTCTTTCATGAACGAAGATTTGTGGAATGGAGAAGCCGAATACAGAGTCCCGAGGTCGCGTTGCATCTCGATTCGCACCGGCGCCGGCTAAAGTGCAACATGTGCTGGTCGCATAAACGGGAGAAAGGGAAGGGAGGAAAGAGAGCTTTGAGGTCGGTCGTTTGGAATTGCTCGATTAAGGCCATAGACTGCAGGCCCCGCTATCAAAAGACTATCGCACGAGATATGTGCAGTGAAATGCAGTGATGCATCGAGATTGCTGGTACGGAAGGGATGTATCCGCCCAAAGATCGGTTGGAAGCTCGAATTTTCGCCAAGTCCGCAGAAAAGTTCATATCGGAGTCTACGAAAATCCTGATCCTTTTTATGTTACTCGCCCAAGTTTCGGTTATATGCGGAGACTTGGGAGAGATAAAGTATATAAATGGCTATATAAAGTAAACAAAAGTCACGGTGCAAATCATAAAGCAAGGAAATATTTATCCTCCTTCTCGTAAGAATTAACGTCAAATCAAACGAGTATTGTGATAGGGTAAAATTTGTATCGAGCAAATCGATTAGAGCCAGTAGTTTGCAGGCAATGTCAGGCAGCACTCAAAAGGCTATCGAGCTAGTGAAGTGAAATGGAACGATGCATCGTGTGTGTGTGATCGCGAGAGAAAAATTTGATATTTAATATTAGAATCTCTGATCCGCGATATAAAGCGGTCCGTTTGTGAATAATTGAAGCGTCGATTCACGCATAAATAATCGGATCACACGTTGCAATTGCCACAGCTAATAGAGAATTTTTATATCATTCACTGCAAAGTACTTTAAAATCTTCTTGAAAAATTTCATATTTTTTTTCTATCAAAATCGTTATCTAAAGGAAAAAACTTGGTTATAATTATACAATTTTGTTTCTGTTTATATAATCAACATATAACGTGATTGAACATTATAAATGTAAACAGACGGTATAAAAAAAGTAATTAAATTTGTTTTAATTTAAATTTAACGTGTATATACGTGAATAAAATATGAACGTAAATTTGATTTAATTAAACAATTGTTAATTGGTAAGGTGTCTTTATTTCTCGCGGACGCAAATTTGTCAGGGAAATGGAATCTCTTCGACGACTACATCCGACTATTGTGAATATATATGGGACGAAACGATTTTCAGGGATGGCTGGCGATAATTGCGCGGCCTGAAGCGCAACAGTAAATCGTACAAATGGTGCAGAAGAGAAAGGTTTTGTCGTTGGAAATCGGTCGATTAAGGCCATAGACTGCAGGCGGTGCCAATCAACTATCAAAAAGCTATCGAGCGTGTGAAATGAAGTGCGGTGATGTGCCGCGGATGCGACAAACCGAGGCGGAAGTTACTCAGGGAGATAAAATTGATATTATCTAGCTTTGCCGTAGATCGTTACTAATCATCTAGGTAGCATTTTGTTATAAACAACAGCTAGAGATACAGAGAAGAATGTATAAAGTTTCAAACCAAAGATATATCTTTATTAACAAAAGTGTAAACTATATTTTTATAAAAAAAAAAGGTAAGACTCTTCTCTCGACCGTACTGGCAAATATTATTTATTAAATCACAACGTTTCGAAATTATAATTTTATTTTTATTTTCACAAATCACTTGATAAGGACTCAAAGAAGGGTCGAAACGTTGTGATTTAATAAATAATATTTGCCAGTACGGTCGAGAGAAGAGTCTTACCTTTTTTTTAAATTCTGTCTGGCGATTCTCAAATATCTACGTCTATATTTTTATATTTCTCAGATAATTTGTATCTACAATAATAGAAGTATACATTATTTGAGAAATAAAGAAATAATCTTATTATGAGATAGAATTTAAACTTTGAATAAAATATTTTTCTCGTAGGTTTCATTCTCGCATATTTATAAGATAGTTTCCTTACCATTAAGTAATGAAGAGGATAAAATGCATAAAATTCTACGTAAAGGTAATACATTTAAAAATAAATTTCACGGGTGAATGGCAAAGGAAGAACGTATATTCATTAAATAAATTAAGATATAGCGCGCGCGTATAAATAAACCAAAATAAATGTGACGTGAAGAAAATAATACATGAACGAAAAAAAAGAATAACATATTCGTTCGATAAAAGCGATGGGTTTTCACTGTCACCGGGTAATGAATAATGATCAAAAAGCGCAATCCAATATCCGCGATGACAAACTATGCATGCAAGATGTAGCGTGACCGATACATAGAGACATTGTAAAAGATTAAGAGTGCAGGTACCGGCTTTACAGCGCGATCGGGAAAAACGACTACACCACTATAAGCCTAGTCGCAAATAATTGATTGAAGTCATCCTTGAAGTCAATGAACAGTGGCACCATTTTTAGCCGTCGAGTGGTGAACTTAGATCGCGCTGTTTGACCCAATATTCGTCGCGTGGTGCTCCGTTGATCGATCGATCGCTATCGCGCACACGCACGAGCTCGCAAACATCATCTCTCGCACAATGTGATTTCAATTTTTGTTTGAAAAATTAGTAAAAATAAAGCATTTCAACTGCTTCTGTTTTTACTTATTCGCAAAAAAATCAGTGAATTTGTTACTTAATAGAGAACCATGTTTTTCAATGTAATATTATGTAATCAAAATTTTAATCGTAAATACGCAAAATACAAATTCTTGACTATTGAATTTTATTTTCCTAGTTCCCGAAACTTAAAAATAAATAAAACTCATATGTAGTCTGCAAACTTTCTGATTTTTCTAACATAAAAAATACCTTCTTACTATTTTTGTTGCAGTTTTTAAAGATTTAAAGAAATTTATGGGACCGTTTTTAATTTGAATATAGGCAAAAGAAAAATAAGAATTTTGATTATTTGAAAGTTAGAAGAGAAAAAGAGCGAAATTAGTGGATTAATTGTAAAAGTAATCAATAACCGAGTCAAGTTGTCTAAAAGATGCATTATTGACCAAGCAATGAGAAAGTCTTGTAGCAAGTCACAAGAGGAACACGACTTTCGTTTTTCATAGCGGTCAACAGCCGTAACTGTTGCGACATCGCCATTTTCACCTGCGCTGCTGCACATGCACCCTTGAGAGACTAACGATGCATCATCCGCCGACACGATTTTCCACTATTGACTCGTTTACTGTGATATTCTTACTTCCATTTAGCGTACTAAAATGGCTATGCAATTTTGTTATTTCAAGTATTAAATACGAAGATCGCAAATTATACCTATACAGCCACATTTAGCGTTAAACATACAATTAAATAAATTTATAAAATTCATATCAAAAATATGTTTAAAAAAACCATAAATCAGAAGATGTTTTTTAATATATAAATTATCAATTTCTATTCAATCAAGAGAGAATTTTTCACTCGTCTTCTAAAAATTGTTTGCAAAAACTAAAGAGCTCGATTTAATATGTTCTTAATGTCCTTTTTTCACATTTTCATAAAAATATATTAAAATTATCGATCCATAGATGCTCATAATAAAAGTAGAAATTTTAATGACGTGACAAGAGCAAAGTGCAACGATTCACCCAGATCATCCATAATGTGATATAAAAGTTTGCATCCGATTATATGTGCAGGATGTCGAATAAGCGCGTTATGCATCGACAAGAAAAGAAGTAGCTAGATTTGATGTTGAAAGTCGAGAAGCGGGAAAACTCGTGGCTTGCTTGGCCGGAAATCGAGGAAAATAAAAAAGAGGGGCGATAGAAGAATTCGGAGGGGAAAATGCAAAGCGCTTGCGCGACCAGCTCGTTTCCATGGCTTCGTAACGTTTCGCGTAGCAACGCGAGGACTTTTGACCCCGTTCGATTGTCCTTCGAAACGGCTTCGTGCGCCGAGGAAGCGAAGCGCATCACGGATCCACGATGCCTTTTTTTAGCCTTATTGCCTTACTGACGAAGTTGTCGATGCATCGCGATGCGCCCTTGGCTGGGCGAACCGCGAACTTGTACAATAACAAGTTTCATGGACAAGAAATATTTTTTATTGCCGTTTTTGTCGCATATTTGTTTTAATTTAATTATTTTAAAAATTTCAAACAAGTAATTACAAATTCGCGGTAATAATTTTCTTTCGTTATTAAGCGTGTTTTTAATGAAAATAGAATCAAAATGTATATATTATTTTTTTATTTTTGTGTTTGAGATTTAAAAAAATTAAGATTTCTTTAGAGATATATATGCATAAAATATAAATAATGAAATTTAATCAATTTTAAATAGGCTTTAGTTAAAAAAAAACATTAATTTTACAGTAAAAATTAATCATTACACGGAGAGAATTTTCTCTTAGAATTTATATTGTAATTGTGAAACAATATATGGTATTGCAAGAATTTTATAAGAGTTTCTCTGATTAATATTTACTACATATAAAAATATTAATATAGTATATAGTAAATTGGTACATGATAAATTATACTGTGCACATAGTAAAATTAATTAAACATATTTTATATCTTATTGTAATAGATATTAATATTTTTTATTGTGGTAAATATGTTCCATTAATTTCACTATGTATATACATTCATATTTTTATTGTTGTAAATATTTAATCAAAGAAACTAAAATTCTTTCAATACCATATTATCCGATTACCATAATTTTTAGGGTAAATTCTCATCGTAAGAGAAAATTCTCGTCATGTATAGTTTTCGTGACATTTGTCATTGAAATATAAATGTAGATTTTTTTTTATAGAATATCTATTTTAATAGAATAAAAAATATAAATGTTCTTTCATATAGATTAAAATATAAATATGAAAGAACATTTATAATTTTTTGATCGCGCGCGCATAAAAATGTAATAAAAAATTATGTAGAAAATTAATCTTTCTAATGAATATATCATTCATAGTAATACAAATGATAATGCTCATTGTGTGCGATATATGTAATTTTTACGCTTCTGGATTCGTTTTAGTGCACTTATGGGATTTACCTCAGAATGCACCGTAAATTCTTCTCTCCCTCTCACTCTCTCATTCCTTTCGCGCGTATTTATTCCGCGAAGGTATTCCGTTGACATCGGTCGGTGATTTATACCGAAGCAACTGATCGCAATTTGGCATAAAGCGTGCCTCACGAATACTTGAACACTTTATGTTGAAGTACCGGGAAAATTTACCGGAATGTTCACGCACGAAGGTGAACACGATCAATTAAATTCTCTTGGACGTTTCGCGGACTCGGAACGTGTCAAGCAAATGCTATGCAACGACTGTGTTTAATTATTTAATCAATTAATATTTCACCTTCTGCACTGCTATCGACCAATTAAACGTATTATTGAGTATAATTTAAGAGAGTAAAGTGTAAAAAAATAGAGAAGAAAAGATTAAAAAATAATAATTTTTGAGCGCCGATCTCTAGTTATAAACTCCTCTGGCTTACACTTATCTAACGTAATCGATCAACCCTGGCACTTTCAAGAGACTAATAATGATAAAGACATGTCATATACGC